TACCGAAAGAAAAGCCGTGGTCGTGGGAAGACTGGGAAGGGGGCTGAGGGGCAGGGGCGAATCCTCATGTGCTTATTAGGATACAGGGCCAGGCTGGGAGAGCAAGGGGAGAAAGGAAGGAACTGAGGGACTCTCAGAAAGGGAGGGTACCGAATCTCCAAACGGCCACTCTGGCTGCAGCGTGGTTAGACTCCACTCCCTGACTTACCCCAGCTCAGAGCTAAACTCTCCGGAAGTGTAATTTAATATTGGAAGTGGTTACTGACTGCTCTCTCTCTCTCTCTCTCTCTCTCTCTCTCTCTCTCTCTCTCTCTCTCTCTCTCTCTCTCTCCTCTCCTCTCCTCTCCCGTCTCCTCTCTCCTTCTCTCTCTGTATCTCTCTCTGTCTCCCTCTCCCTCTCTGTCTCTCTCTCTCTGCTGTGAGGCCAGATGAGGGTGTGGGATCCGTCAGAGCTGAGTTACAGCAGGTTGTAAGCTCCCTGACGTGGGTGCAGTTAATGAATTTCAGAGCTCTTCGAAAGAGCAGCCAACTCCCTTAACTACTGAGCCATCGCTTCAGCCCAACTTTAATTTTGAGACAGCTTTTCACTGAATCTGGAGCTTAAAAGCCCGGGCTCCTGAGATCCACCTGTCTTCCCCCTCCCACGTACCCCCATGGCTAGGGTTACAGGTGCCCTGCCATGCCTGGCATTTACGGTGGAATCAAAAGCCACGTTCTCTTGCTTGCATAGTAAGCAGGGTACCAACTGAGCCATCTGTTGGGTCTCGCTCACTATGTTGGTCTTGAACTCCTGGACTCAAGCGATCCTTCTGCCTCTGGCAGCTTCAATGACAGGTGCATGTCACTGTGCTTGATGAGCACAATTGTTACTTGGGCTCTGCTGAGAAAGGCTTCAGTTCTTTTTGAATGAAGAAATGTCCCCATCCAGTGGCCAATGGACTTTTCACCTGTTTACAAGATTGTTAAATGCAGACTCCTACCTAACTTTCAGATTCCTCCACTCGCCACATCCCAGCATTCTCTCTCCTACCCCCTTAGTTCTGTTACGACTGATGTCATTGTCAACCTGGCAGGCTTTAGAATCCCTTGGAAGCATACCTTTTGAAGGTGTGTCCATGAAACTGGTCCCATAGAGGCATGACTGTGCTCTCTGGCTGAGCAGCCTAGCCACACTGGCATGTTCCAGGCCAGTGAGAGGCCCTGAGCCATAGAATAAGGTGAACAGCACCTAAGGAAAGAGGTTGGCACATGCATACACTGTCACATATGAACATGCATACACACAGTGCCACCCCTAAGGAATACAAACCACTATTATTATCCTCTCTCTCATACCAGAGTGTATAAATGGGTCTTAGAAAGGGCAAAACCACACAGCTAGTCAGGAGTGGTTTTAGACGCGAGACAGACTCCAAGCTTTCCCATCTGGCTTAGGGGGACACCCAAAATTCCTGTGGCCTAACAGAGATAATAAAGCAGCCACCTAAAGTCATGGAATCCTCAGTGAGAGCTAACAGTAAATGGAGACGATGACAGACTCAGGATCCTCCTTTGCGGCAACACGTTGGGCTGGTGCCCTCTGCTGGGAAACTAGGGTAACTACATATTTTTCCAAGGACTGTCTTGAGGCTGTACTAGGGTCGCCATAGTGTCCTACCTGGGGTACAAAGGTCCGGTTCTCAGAGTAAACAAAGCTTAGGTGCCTCTTTAAACAGAATCCTGTCAGAGTGGGGCTGGAAAGGATATCCAGCAGCTAGCGTGAGGTTCTGGATTCAGTGACCAGTGCTCTGTCTTGGCAAAAGTGGTAGTTTGAAAGAAAGTGGCCTCCAAAGGGAGTCTATTCCCTTTGGATATCTATTCCATTATTAGGAGATGTGGCCTTGTTGGAGTAGATCTGGTTTTGTTGGAGGAAGTGTGTCACAGTGGAGGCGGGCTTTAGGGTCTCATATGTTCAAGCCATACCTAGTGTCTCAGACCACTTCCTGTTGCCTACAAGCCAGGATATAGGACACTCAGCTACTTCTCCAGCACCATGTCTGCCTGCACACCACCCTGTTGCACCATGACGATAATGGACTACACATCTAAAGATGTAAGCCATTCCAATTCAGTGTTTTTCCTTTGTAAGAGTTGCCATGGCCGGGGCTGGAGAGATGGCTCGGTGGTTAAGAGCACTGACTGCTCTTTCAGAGGACCAGGGTTCAACTCTCAGCACCCACATGGTGGCTCACAGCTGTCTATAGCTACAGTTCTAGGGGACCCAACACCCATGGCAAAACACCACTGCAAATAAAATAAAACCATTTTTAAAAAGAGTTGCCATGTTCATGGTATCTCTTCACAGCAAGCTAAGGGTCAGAGAGGTTTGGTGAAGTGGGCAAGCAAGGCTAAGCATTCAGTACAGAGTGAATCTCTAAAATGGGGCCTCCCCACAAAAAGCTTTGCAGTTGGGGCCATCTCTTTCTTTGAGAGAGACTCTTGATCTGGCAGAGTAAATGGGAAACTGGTTGGTTGGTTTTTGGTGGCCACGTAGGTGAAGTCAGCTTTGCCCCAGTAAAGTACAGGATGCCGGAAAGCTGTGCAGCCTCCTTCAGTCACCACTTCTGAGCATGTGCAACGGGGAACCTTCGTGGTGGCACTGTCATAAGACCACGTTGCTGGGAAGTGGTTGGGACTGCCACTGGCAGCTAAGTTAGAATAGAACATTTCCCTCCTTATGTTAACTTTCTGTTTCAAACAATACATTTGTTATCACACAGCTCTCGGGTCAGAAGTCTGGGTGGATTCAGTCTCTGTTCGGGGTCACTCAAAGCCAAAATCAAAGTGTTGGTGGATCTGGGGTCATTCCTGCCATCTGGAGATGGTGTGCCTTCCATGCTATTCAGGCTTTGGAAGAATTCAGTTCCTTGCAGTTACTGAAAAGAGACCCCCTTTTCCTTGCTGGGTGTCGGTTGGAGGACATAGTTGGGTTCTGGAAGCTGCCCACATTCCATGGCTCCTGGTCCCTTTTGTCTTTAAAACCAGCAACAGAGGCTGGTTGTCTGCGATTCCCCTTCAGACCCCTCTCTAGATCCAGCAGCTGTCTGGTGTGTGTGTGTCTGTGCAAGTGTGTGAGATTGTGCACACGTGCATGCATGCGTGCATGTGTGTAGATCAGATGACAACTTCAGGTGTTATTTTTCAGGTACACACACACTTTTTTTTTTTTTTAACAGTGTCTCTCAGTGGCCCAAAGCTCACCAAGTGGGCTAAGCTGGCAGGCCAGTGAGCCTCAGGGCTTCACAGCTAGGATTTCAAGCATGCAGCACCATGTGTGACTTTTTACACGGGGACACCCAGGCCCTTGTGCTTACAAGACAAGCAAGCTCTTCACCAACAGAGACATCGCCTCAGCCCTTGAAAGCCACCCCCTCTCCTGTGATGAGCCAGGCCTGCCCACAGATTAACAGTCCATCAAATGTATGTGATGCCATTTGCTGCAGAGCAGAGGGTAGTAGCAGATCCATGAATCCCCTCTAGTCTGAAACGTCACTGTAGCTGGAACCCTGTTCTGACTAATCCGGGTTGTCAGCTTCACACACCTGGAAAGAGGGAGCCCTCACAGAAGAGTTGCCTCCACCAGATTGGCCTGTGGGCATGTCTGTGGGGGCATTTTCTTGAGTGCCGGTTGATGTGGGAGCGCTCAGCCCCCTCTGGGTGCTATCATCCCTGGGTGGTTAGGACTGGGTGGTTTAACAAGGGCTATTGAACATGATCCTGGGAGCAAGGCAGTGAGTGAGTGAGCACCACTCCCCCATGGCTTCTGATTCCGTTCCTGCCTGCAGGTCTCTGCCCTGGATAAACTGTAACTGTAAACCAAATAAACCTCCTTCCCCCGAGTCGTTTTTGGTCAGTGTGTATCCCAGCAACAGAGAAGTAAACTAGGATAGGACCTGAGCTTAGATTCCCGGCTCCTACAGGAAAAGCCAGGTCTTCTGGAAGCCCAGGCCTCGGGATGTGTAGATGGGAGGAGCCCAGGGCTTGCTGGCCAGACGATCCATCCTATGTAACGATGCATGGAGAGACACTGTCTCAAAAGTTAAGGCAAGGAGTGACAAAGATACCTGCTAAGTGACAGGCACTCAGTGGGGAGACTGGGGCAGATGTCTACTCACCTGAGACAGGGAACTGACAACAGACATAAGTACGGATACCACCAAAGTCCAATATGGTGAACCAATGCGTTTTGTCGGGGCTACGTACAGGAGCAGAAGTGACTCAAAGACAGCTGTATCACCAAGCACCACCCCAGCACAGGTGACAGCTCACAAAAGCTGGGAACCTGGAACACACTGCAGAGCCTTTGGGAGGGGGGGGTCAACCCACCCTTTCACTGGGGTCACCTAAGACTATCAGAAAACACAGATATTTACATTATGATTCATAACAGTAGCGAAATTATAGTTATGAGGTAGCAACAAGAATAATTTTATGGCTGGGGCCACCACAGCCTGAGGGACTGTATCAGAGGATCCCAGCATTAGGAAGGTTGAGATGAACATTCTGTTGTTTCATCTGTTTTAACATCTGGTGTCTTAAGTACCTTCCCTCCAAGATGGACACTTTTTTGTTTGTTTTTGGGTGTTTTGTTTTGTTTGAGATAGGGTTTCTCCATGTAGCTTTGGAACTCACTCTGTAGACCAGGCTGACCTCGAACTCACAGAGATCTACCTGTCTCTAGCTCCCAAGTGCTGGGATTAAAGGTGTGCACCACCACCTCTCTACTCAAGATGGACAGTTTTATCTTGGTGAAAACTACAGCACAGCACCATCCAGTGTTGATCTTGCCTCCACATACATGGACAGACACACAGACACACACACACACACACAGATGTACACTGGTAAGGACTCAGCAAGGAGGCTCAGTGTCATTCCCTTCTGGCAGCCTACGAGCAGCAAGCATCAAGGATGTTGTGATTTTCATTTTCCCGGACCCTGACTATCTTTCTCTTTCTCAGTCCTCAGACATTGACAACCACCATGCGCTCATTGAATTCAACGAGGCTGAGGGCAGCTTTGTCCTTCAGGACTTTAACACCCGCAACGGCACCTTTGTTAACGAGTGCCACATTCAGAACGTGGCGGTGAAGCTGATCCCTGGGGACATTTTGCGGTTTGGCTCCACTGGGCTGACCTACGAGCTGGTCATTGAGAATCCACCCCAGGTGAGCGTGGCCTCTGCGTGGTCGGGGGTGGTGGCAAGGTGCTATGCTGGCGCATGCGTGTAGTACCCTTCTCAGATACAGCAACTGGGAGCATTCTGCATGCCCACACTGACCACACAGGGAATAGCAAAGACTCCATCCAAGCCATGTGCCTCCCAGGGGGCTTTGCAGAGGTGGGTGTGTCAGCGCCCCCTGATGGGCACTTCCTTGCATTACATGAGATATTAAGGGGAGTCTGGAAGCAGAAGGGTGGTTTTGACAACAGAGATGGGTGCTTCCCTTCCCGGCTGCTCAGCTCTTGCTGGGGCTTCTCTCTGGCCCACACGGATCTTCCATATGGCTGTCTTTTCTATTGTACCTGACGCTGAGAGGGTATATCTATAAAGTCCATGTCTAAATAGGTGGTAGACACATGCCAATTGTTGTTTTGGCCCAGATCAGAAATGGGTCTGAGGTCACACCCTAAATTACGACCTCGATTCAGGTGAAAGAAAACTTGGAACTCGTGCAGCCTCAATCCTAAGGAAGCTATCAGTTAGCAGGCTTGGTGGCAAGAGCCCTTTCTACTGAGCCATCTACATAGTGTGGTATTGCTTCTAAAAACCACACTTCACCATGGTGAAATTGTTCCACAATGAAATGCATGCGTTACGAGGGTGGGTCTGGTGGTTTTGACGGGTGACTACCCCTGTAAAAATATGCCTACAACTACAACAGGCAATGAATGTCGACACTCCTTCCTCCTCGTGGATGTGGCGGTCATTTGCTTGACAGCTGCCATCAGCAGCTTCACCCAAGTGTGGGTTACTCAATCTGAATTCCACCTGCTGTTGTGTAGACACCTCAGTGGAATCAAGTAAATTCTGAGCCAGCCCTCACACCATCTGCTTAGAAAACTCTTCCCTTCCACGCTCCCATACGAAGCCTGTGACATTCCTGACTCCTTTGATTGTCTGTTTTTATTTCTTTTCTCTAAAATTGTGGCAAAAATACTTTTGACATGGAATTTACCATTTATCCACAATCACGGGGGTAACTCTGCTTGCCTTCCGTCCATTCTCTCTGTTTTGTATCCCGTCACAGCCCCAGCTTAGGGTGCCTCTCAAACACTAACACCCTCTCCTCAGCGTGCGCACCCCCGGTCACCCAAACCATCATTATGTCTCTGGCTTTGTAAAAGCAACTGCCTGGCGTCTATTGGTTGCTTGTCTTGTTGTAAGAAAGTGCCTGACACAGCAGAGGCTCATGGGTCAAGGGGATACAGTCCATCACGGTGACAGGCATATAGGCAGCCGGTCACAGGGCGCCCACAGTCAGGAAGCAGAGAGACACGGATGCTGGTGCTCGGCTCAGTCTCCCCTTTTTATGCCCTCTAGGGGACAGCGCTGCTTACGTTCAGGGTGTGTCTTCCCACCTCCCTTAACTACTGACAACCCCTCACAGACATGTCTAGGGGTGTGTGTGCCTCCTAGGTCAGCACAAGATGAATGATGGGCTGGGTGGCTCAGCTGCTTTCCTGTGAATTCACTCTCTGTTTGCCTGATAACCCAGGCCTGTGGCCTACAAAAACAAACAAACAAAAAGGACAGAGGGACATATTGAGAGTGGCTCATCTCACATTTGAGGGACCTTTTATTTGTCTTGTCTCACATGTGATACCCAGGCCGGCCTTGAACTCACTATGTAGCCAAGGATGTCTTTAAGCTTCTGATCCTCCTTCGTCCATTTCTCGAGTGCTTCCGTGACAGGCGTGCTCCACCACACGTGGCTTATGTGGCCCTAAGGATGGAACCCAGGGCTTAATTCATGCAGAGGAGCACTCCACTAGCTGAGCCACATCCTCAGCCCTTACCTGACCTTCGGGGCTTCTGTTTCTAATTTCTGCCAAGCAAATCCATGTGAGTCATGCATGAGCTTTTTCTCCTTTTGGATGGATTTCTGTGGATGCAGGAGGACCCACCCATGCTGGTATAGATGAGGCCCATAAGACCTCAGCCTTCCCAGCCCCGTGTGTGTGAGTGTGTGTGAGTGTGAGTGTGAGTGTGTGAGTGTGAGTGTGTGTGAGTGTGTGTGTGCGAGTGTGTGAGTGTGTGTGAGTGTGTGTGAGTGTGCGAGTGTGTGAGTGTGTGTGTGTGAGTGTGTGAGTGTGTGAGTGAGTGTGTGTGTGTGAGTGAGTATGTGAGTGTGTGTGTGTGAGTGTGTGAGTGTGTGAGTGTGTGAGTGTGTGAGTGTGTGTGAGTGTGAGTGTGTGTGAGTGAGTGTGTGTGTGAGTGAGTGTGTGTGTGAGTGTGTGAGTGTGTGAGTGTGAGTGTGAGTGTGTGAGAGTGTGTGAGTGTGTGAGTGTGTGAGCGAGTGTGAGTGCGTGAGTGTGTGAGTGTGTGAGTGTGTGTGTGAGTGTGTGAGTGTGTGTGAGTGTGTGTGAGTGCGTGAGTGTGTGTGAGTGAGTGTGTGAGAGAGTGTGTGAGCGTGTGTGTGAGAGTGAGTGTGAGTGAGTGTGTGAATGTGTGAGAGAGTGTGTGTGAGTGCGAGTGTGCGAGTGTGTGAGTGTGTGAGTGTGTGTGAGTGTGTGAGCGTGTGTGTGAGAGTGAGTGTGTGTGAGTGTGCGAGTGTGCGAGTGTGTGTGAGTGTGTGAGTGCGTGAGTGAGTGTGTGAGAGAGTGTGTGTGAGTGTGTGTGAGTGAGTGTGTGAGTGTGTGTGTGTGTGCACACACTTTGGCACATGTGTACAGATCAGAGGGTAACCTTAGGTGGTGTTTCTCCCCTTCCACTTACTCGAGTGAGACACGATCTCTTACTCATCTCTGTGTACACCACGCTAGCTGACCCATGGGCTTTGAAGAACTCGCCTATCCCCACACCCTGTCTGTCTCACCTTCCCCGTGCTGGGATTACCACCACACCAGGTCTCACATGTGTTCTGGGGATATGAACGTGGGTCCTCAAGTTTGTATGCAGCATGCACATTACCCACCAAGCCATCTCCTCAGCCCCCAGGTTTCCTCTCAGTAATGGCCAGGTCTCCTGAGCTCTAATCTAAGAGGACTTTGCCAGAACCCAGTGCACTCTGGTCTTGTGAGAACTCAAGCCACAGCCCTCCCCACACCACACCCCACATCCCCGGAGCCTGCAGCAGCCTGTGCTGACAGGGCTGACACGTGGTGGAAAGGGAAGCCTCCATGATGGAAAATATGTACTGAGCCACAGGCTTTCTCTGCTGTCCAGAGCACTACCACAGTCCCTGGCGACCCTGGTCATTCTCTCTCTTCCCTAGTTGATAGTGACAGTGGTGACTGGTAGCCAGTGTTAAGAGGTGTTAAACATCAGGAAGGACACCAGGCACTTCGTGTACACTCTCTAATTCGATTTTTGCAAATCAAGTAGTCACCATTAATAGCTGAGGCTCAGAGTCACACACACACTCATCACTTGTCAAATGGAAAGGGGCAGAGGACGAAGCTGGACATGGTTTTGCTTAATGATAAATGCTGTGCCCTTTTCCAGAGGGGACAGATCAGCAAACTCCAGTCCCCAAGCATGAGAAATGTGCACCCCTCTCTCCTCCATAATAAGAGCACTGACCCAGACTACTAAAAGCAAGGAAATCTATTTTACAACTTTGCAAGTCCCAACATTAGACCAGCATGGCTGGCACCTGAGAGTGCGGAGGATAGCTAGTATAACCCTGCTGCCAGCCCTCTCTCCTCCCGATCCTCATTGGCCGATCCTCATTGGCCGAGTGAGCAGGTGGGTGTAACCCCCACATCAGCCACTTGGGCCTTGGCTTTCTTTAGCTGTTTTACATTTGCCTGTCTCGTTTTAAAAAGATTTATTTATGTATAATGAATACAGTACTCTGCCTGCATGTATGCCCACACACCAGAAGAGGGCACCAGATCTCATTACAGATGGTCGTGAGCCACCATGTGGGTGCTGGGAATTGAATTCAGGACCTCTGGAAGAGCAGCCAGTGCTCTTAACTGCTGAGCCATCTCTCCAGGCCCCATTACAATTTTTTAAAGATTGTTTATTTTATTTTTGTTTGCATATGCGTTCAGGCTCATGCATGCATGAGTGCATGCCTGCCTCTGTGTGTGTGTGTGTGTGTGCGCGCACGCGCATGTGCACACATACACAAGTGCAGGCATGCACTCAAGCTTATGCACATAAGTGCAGTTGCCTGCAGAGGCCAGAAGGAGGTGAATACTCTGGAGCTGGGGTTACAGGTGGTTGTGGGTGCTGCGAACCAAACCCTGGCCCTCTACAGAAGCAGCGCTCTCTGAGCCCTCCTCCAGCCTCTTTCTTAACCAAAGAGTGTGTGTATGTGTGTGCCTATCTTTGCTTTTCAGACTGTTGATTTTAAAGCTTGTCAGGCACATGGCTTTGTCGCATCCTCAGGACATCAGAAAACAGATGTTGTTACATTGCGACTCATAACAGTAGCGAATTTACAGTTATGAAGTAGCAGAGAAAGTAATTTTATGGTTGGGGGTCACCACAGCATGAGGAACTGTGTTAAAGGGTAAGAACTGCAACAGGGGGGTTGGGAGCCACTGCTGTAGCTGGAGTGGGGTTTTGCAGCTGTAGTGGGGTTCATGGCTGTAGCTGTAGCGGGGTTTGCGGCTGTAGCTAAAAGTGGGGTTCACGGCTGTAGCTGAATGGCCTTTTATTTCCTGTTTCTCTAAAGTTCCACAATCTGTCTTAGTCTAAATCTCCTCTGGGCCACTGTTTAAGTTTCATGCTTCTATCTGAGCCTGTCAGACCCTGCGGAGAGCCTTTAATTGCGGACACATAGCGGCACTTGTATCCCATGTCAGTGAGCTTATTGTCCAGGAAATTCTATTGTTATCAGGAGTCAGAAACCCAGATCAAACTGAGCAACAAACAAACAAAGCCATGTAACTGGAAAGCGCCTGCTTTGGGCCTAGCTGGATCCAGGTCCTCTGACGAGCTCAGGAATCTCTGGCTTCAGTGGCCTCACCGCCTCAGGCAGATTCTGCACTG